TGTGCATGTGTCTGGTCTCTGGGTGTCTGTGAATTTCGTTGTATGGGTATACTGTGTATATACTTACAATGACAATAAAATTATACTATTACTATTACTATTACTAATATACTTACCTGGAGCACAAAAACTCCACAGTCACTGTCATTTTTCTGTTGTGGAATGCACTAGAAAGAGAACAATGACATGGAAAAAAGGAAAGGATGTGAGATCATCAGTATGAGCCAAGAACATACAAAGCTGCATTATACAAGACCCATGGGTAGAACAGTCAGCCCGTGGCCTAATCTAGCTTAGTTCTCACACCATTTTAAAGGCAAACAAAACTGTGAGGGGGAAAAGAGGGAAAGTACCTAGGATATAGAGACGAGAGAGCGAGAGAGAGAGAGAGAGGCTGACTATATCTGAAAAAAACTTGATCATAGTTGGCATATCTCATTTATGCACAGATCAGTGGTTCCCAACCTTTTCTGAGTCACAACCTTGTAAGCTTGCAGGATACTCCTCCTTCTCTCTGCTTCTTCCCCTGGTTGTAAGCTTGCAGGATACTTTTTTTCCCCCTCCTCCTTCTCTCTGCTTCTTCCCCTGGTGTCACGAGTCACCCCATCTCCCCCGTCCAGGGGTTCTCCAGTTCTATCCATTCCCACCTTTCAAGGTAAGACCTTCTCCACTTTCTCCTGGCTTTCTATCAACCACCTCCTTATAGAAGTCTCTCCCTGTTGCTCCTGCCTCCTCAATCACTGTCTTCTCTTCTGCCTTTTCCTCCAATTTTGGTGGGCCAACTTCTCCCAGCTGCATAGGGTTCCCCCCCCCTGCTCTCCACCTTGGGGGTCCTGTTTCTCCACTTGGTCCCCCTTTTTTCCAAGGCAGAGGGGACAGTATGCTTGTGGGAGGAGGCTTCCTCGTGCCACCTTTCTCCCAGACACCCCCCTTTTTACATAGCCAATTACTCTCCATCACATTTGCATGAAAAGGTATTTTTAATGGGGTAACGCCAACCCTTCTCAGACAGTCGAGGCTTCTTTCTCCTCCAAAGGGGCTTGTTTCTCATACAGACACATACACCCCAACTTTAACATCTCAGGCCAAAAGGTTAATGAAGAAATTATTTAACAAGGGCCCCTACACATATACAGCAACTCATGAACCACCCCCCCCCCAAAAAAAACAGTTTGTGACTGTCTTGGGAATCACGACCCCCAGGTTGGAAAACACTGTTATAGATAAAGGAGTAAAAAAAAAAGCACCTCTGCCTATTGACAGGTGGTTTATATTTGTCTTTTGAACCTAAGAATATATGTCTTCTTCCTACAGTAACGACACACAGGATCCAACCATAACACTCAGTTATGTTCCAAATCACAGAACCACCACTCCATTGCTTCCATTAAAATGACTGGCTTGCAGTTTTCAAATCCAGATGACCCCAGGGAGGAGAGGTTCTCTTTAGGATCCCAGACAAGATCCTTCCCCAGTCTCACCCAGACGACCAAGGATATTCTGTGTGCAAAGCGGGTGTGCTCTCCCACTGACCTACAGACCCCTCGAGCATTCCTCATTACTATCTATTTTACCAACACACACCTGGTACAGAAGTTGCTGAGGCTCAGAAAAGGAATACTGGTGGAGAATCTCTACCAGCTCTTTCCAACATACACCTGGCACAGAAGTTGCTGAGGCTCAGAAAAGGAACACTGGTGGAGAATCTCTACCAGCTCTTTCCCCAACATGTGAAGGAATGCCTGGCCCGCCAATCCTCTAAGCGCCAGGGGACCACAAACTCACTGGCAGAGCACTTGGACGCAGGTTCAATGCCAGTCATCTCCAGTCGGAAGGATCTCTCGTCTGTAAACCCCAGCAGGGCTTTGCTGCCAGAACAGATGGGAGATGCTGCCAGACCAATTCTTTATAGATTTTACATCCACCTTATTTTTAGACTCCAATGTTTTAAGCTCAGTTCGTGAACTGCCTAGGGATTTTGGAGATGAGAATATAAACCTATTATAGATATACCCAACAAATATACAAGTTCAGTGTTTCCTCTGTGCTCAGGGCAAGGATGATTGTCAAATAATTCCTACTCTATTTGTCTCTGCCAGTCAGACTTGGGTGAAGAGCCTCAACCCTTTTCTTGATGGTTTGCCAGAATGATCCAGAGTTTAAAAAAGAGACAATAAAGTTCCTTTTATCTACGTGCTTCTCTGTAGTTTTTCATTTTCTTGTTTAATTCAAATCCAGAATGATCTAGCAACTAAATAAAGATAGAGAGCAGCCAACATTGCACCAGTCATTAAGAAATGAAAAGCAATATAGTTCCAGTGTCAATAAAAGAATGCTGCGGTACTAACACAACCAACTATGAATTCAAGGCTGAATGAGTGGAATGTACATCCCACTCACCAACTAGACACCCATTCAGTGGGACCATTTCACTTTAAATTTCACTTGGAAAAGAAAATCATTTTTTTAAAAAGAGAAACCGCCCCACGTTAAAGTAGCGTATTTCAGGTGAACTATTCCTCTGAAGTAGTCAGGGCTGGAAGCTGTTGTGACACGTCACACACTGCATAAGGGCTTTGTACTCAAAAAACCTGCTCAGATCCTTCTATGGATCTGGCCAAGTAATTTAACACAAATACATATTTTATAATAGAAAACAAATTACATCCCAACTTCAATACCAAATTTTTAACAACCTTGGCAGGATAGTTTCTTCTCAATTATTTTAAGTAAATATTTGAACACCGCTATCTGCTTTACACAGCAACCATTTATTTCAAGCCCGTACGCAAGTGCATGAGCGCACACACGCACACAAGCCAAAACGTGCCAATTCAGAGAAACATTTATTTCATGGTTCCCTCCTATGGAATACAGATTCTTGCAGCTCATCTCTTTTAACACATTCGTAATGATACAAAGGCATTCTATGGTCAGTAGATTGCAATGAAGTATGCAACACTTACTGGCCTATTTGCATCTGTGTTAAGAATTAAGGGCTGGGAGGAAATGGAATTTTTACTCATCTGTTTTATGAGCACCATGAAGTTTTTTTTTTTAAGCCATGGTAATGAAAACAAGGAGAAAGGTTCAGGTTAAAACCAAGGCCTGTTTAGTGCAACATCCTCTGGGACAAGAAGATGTCATTGATGAAATGTAATTTGCTTACGATTATAAAATGAATGTGTTAAATGTAGCGTTCTCAATTAGAATGACCACACAGAAACCCAAGGGAAGCCTATAATCAGACATGTAAGTACAACAGAACTCTCACTTTCATGTTACCCAAGAGTAGGTAGGCTAATTCTAAAGCCTTCAATCTCGAGAGACTATGGTAATGTGCTCTGTATGGAGGACTTGGAACAGCATCTAGTGTGGCTGAGAAAGCCAATTTGAGAGTGACAATCCCTTCCACACTGAAGACAAATACAATATGTCCCCTGTCCAGCTCCCTGTTTTTCCTCCTTTCGGGACTGCCTCTTTGCCTCAGCCTGCTGGACAAGGGTCTCTTCAAATTGGGAGAGGCCGTGATGCACCGCCTGCCTCCAGGCTAAGTGCTCAGAGGTCAAGGTCTCCCATCTCTTGAGGTCCATTCCTAAGGCCTTCAGATCCCGCTTGCAGATCTCCTTGTATCACAGCTGTGGTCTCCCTCTGGGGCGCTTTCCCTGCACTAATTCTTCATACAGGAGATCTTTGGGAATCCAACCGTCAGCCATTCTCACAACATGCCCAAGGCAACATAGACATCACTGTTTCAGTAATGTATATATGCTAAGAATTCCAGCCATTCTAGAAATACTCTATTTGGAACTTTGCCCTGCCAGGCGATACCAAAAATGTGTTGGAGACAACGCATATGGAAAGGGTTCAGCTTCCTCTCCTGCCGTGCACAAAGGGTCCAGGTCTCACTGCAGTACAGGAGTGTGCTCAGGACACAAGCTCTATAGACCTGGATCTTTGTGTATGCCATCGGCTTCTTATTGAGCCATACTCTCTTTGTGAGCCTTGAGAACATGGTAGCTGCTTTGTCAATGCGCTGCCCGCTGAGTTTGGGACAGGTGCCCATGAGACCTAAGTAGCCAATTCAACATCATAGCTTCAGTTGCTCTGTCGTGGTCACAACATACAGAGGTTGTGGCATGGGTATCAGTCATGATGGATCTGTATGCCCTCAAGTAGCAGCATCAATACACCTTTAGATACCAACATGAATGGGAAGGTACACTTGCCTTCATACCCTCCTTGTGGCTTTTGCCTGGATGCTGATCACCCCTGTGGAAGTGGAATGCTTGAATACCTGTGGTTAGAGGCAGCCTGGCTCCTTCTTAAGTGCTCCAGGTAGCTGGGCTTCGATGAGGAGGACGACTCTGTCACCAGAGTGGTATATTTCTATGCTACTCTGGTGCCTGCTCTCTAGCAAACAATGCTCATGTCTGCTATATCAGACATCAAGCTGAAGAGAGACTGATAGGCAGAGAAAGTGTACTTTCCAGGGCACTGGATCCTAGAAAGCTGACTGTAGGCCATTTTAGTACTATACAGCAGCAAGACTACGTCCACAACCAAACACTTTTTCAAGAAGCTTCCACCCATTCAACAAACATACCTGTCCTGATTATTTGGCATCTCCCTGCAAAAAGGGTCAGGAGTGAAAGCCATTTCACTTGGTTGCATCTGAAGTTTTCTCCAACAGTTTTTTTGGGGATGTATGCTATCTGACTCCCACTCTACACCCCTCCAGAAGAAATGAAGGCCTCTCTTATCTATGAAAGCTCTGACTCCCCTCGAAAATGAGTTATATAAACAGCTGAAGATAACACCCTAACCTGGATAGCAGGCTTCCAGCTCCAATCTGTCAGAGCCAAAAGACTCTGGGCATGGAGAGAATTCTGTCTCTGAAAGGAAAAACTAGCAAAACGTGCAGCATGCCAGACTTTAACAGCTAGTTGCCTTGGCTTCCTGAATTCATTCCCCCTTAAATTCCTCCACGATCAGTCCTGTACCCAAAGGCAAAACCACTCTTAGGGTTCTATTACAAAAACCTGCCCTTGACAGGACAAGAATCATAGAATTGTGAAGTTGGAAGGGTCCTGTAAGGCCATCAAGTCCAACCCCCTGCTCGATGCAGGAATACAATCTTGAATTTACCACTGGGAGCCAAGTCAACTACAAAGACAATCGTGCTGACAGTCCAAATGCTTTGGGATGATACAGATTATTTGGAGCCGTTTCAAATGGGCCATGGGACTGAGACCGCTTTCGTTCCCTCAGGAGATGGCCTACCTCAGGGATGAAGAAAGCCTTACTTTGCTAGTTTTCCTAAGCTCTTCGCTGCTTGTTGTACCATTGAATGTGGGATCCTCCTGGATTACATGGTTGGGGTGGATACTGGGGTCACCGTGTCCCATTGCTCCCAATCCTTCTAAGGGCATACTCAAAAATGGTGCTGGGTAGCACTGCTTGACACCCTCGTATTCGGTATATGTTGGCCCACAGAGTGCTAACCTATCACAAACATATGCTATGGAAGCTGCAGGGCAACATACACTCCTGTTCCTTACTGGGAGTCCAACAGGGTCAGAGGTGACTGGTCTCTGCCACAGCAGGTGGGACCGCAAAGAGGGAGAATAAGGGGTCAGAAAGAGAAGAATGGGCGATACAGAAACAAAAGAGATAGCCTTGCTTAGTTTTGGCTCTGGACCCATCCAGCACCAGCATGAGGCCCTCATTAGAACATCATCTGACCTAGCAAGAAGAGGAACAATTTGTTTTGTGGCTTATTACTCCTCTTAAAATGACATGCAGAGAGAGGGAGCACGCCTATGGGATAATCCAGGCCAAGAACTAACTTGAGGTCCATCTACTTCACGTAAAGGTCACGTCTCTCAAAAGACTCTAATGACTTCCTAGGAAAAAAGGTTGGAGATCACTGGCCTGCAATAACATATTAACATAATTCCATGTTACTTTACAAAACCAGTATTCTGCCCAATGGACATCCTTACCTTTGTAACAGCAGTCTGCCAACCCTGAAGGAAATCCGGATGATTCTTTTCTCTAGCTTCCGTGAGCAAGTATTTCCGTATATTCTTTTAAGAAAAAGTGGGGAAAGGAATATGATTCAAAGTTGTTCAGACTCCTCTAGACAAGCCTGTTTCTTTGGAGAAGATGCTTCTTGACACCCAGCAGCATACAGGCAAAAATGGTTTGGTTTATATATTTTTAGAAAAAAAATCTCAGCATATAATCCTCTGTCTGCAGCAGGGACTAGGGAAACATCAGTTCACAAAGCATGCTGAGTGTAGGACCTGAGGAAGTCACTAATTCTTGACCTGACATACTCAATGAGTTCATTATATCTTGGCAACAATCCTGAATACATTGCCCTGAGATATTTACAGCAAGAAGTAGGATACTAAGTGCAATACAGAAAAGGACACAAACTGTATGGTACCTATTTAGGCTAGATTTGGAAAGGCAGGAAAGGAATCATGGAGAGGGTTGGTGGGAGACAAAGAAAATTGTACTTCCAACTTAGAAGCAAAAAAGATGGGCCAGAACACAAATGCTTACTATACAGTACATTTTTTGTACACAATAATCTATAGGGATGAAAGAAAGATCACATTATGTAGAAATCTGGGGCAAACCAAGTGTAATAAGAAAAGAAATCTGATACAGATGAGGAAGAAGAAGCTCTTGTTTAGACAACTCCTGGGACAACAAAATTCAGGACAACAAAATTCAAACAGAAGGACAGCTCGCCCGGGATTCTAGAAATGAGAATGTCTTCATCACTCATCCAAAAGACCAGCTTTGGAAAGAGCTAGGAAATAATTCATTACATTTAATTCATTCGCTTTGATTTATAATATAATGCAACAATTATTAGAATTATTTTCATTATTAAGTGGTAAAAATAACATTTTTCACAACCATTAATATTTTACATTAAATTGGTTTGCTTGCTTCAGGATAGTAATCCTGTCAAGAAGCATAGGTCATTGCTATTTTTAGTCAATTAATTATTTTTTTAAAGAAATTAAATAAGCATGCTTACAAATATGCTACTAATGATATGCTGTTCACCATGGTAATGACAACCACATCATTGATCATTTAATTGCTGGCTGAAATCCTGTTGCACAGTTACACAGGTTTCAGGTGTGAATTGCCGTAAGTTAAGCAATCTCCGTAGACATCATCTGTTGCACACCAAGTTGTACAATTCAGTAAGCAAAAGATACTGTCTGTGGAATTTTTTTTTAAGTTATAGCAACCTGCCTCTAAACGTTAAGCTATCTCCGTAATGCACATAATCCTATGTGCAACAGGATTTGAGCGAATGTTTAATTTAATATTTTAGTATTAGTATAATAATTTGATTTAACAATTTAATGTTACCATGCAAGGATCAATGGTAGTATTTCCAAGACCTGGTTTAGTTTCCACAGCAACAATGCTGGAAGAGTTAATTCTCTCTTTTTAGCCAAAGCTGACCTTAGATTTATAGATTCAGAAAGAGCGACATATTACAAAAATGAAGGAAGTCCTAGGAAACGAGGGACTAAGTCTTGTTTCAGGAAACAGTGAAGCATACTATTAAAACAGCTGTAACCATTTGCTCTTACCTCAACACAGAATTTAAAATGAATGCCTTGAGAGTCATAAAATGAAATAATTCGGTTAGGGAGATTCACAGTAATTAGGGACCAGTGGACTTCCAGATGAATAGGAATTAATAAGAGAGTCTTTTTGAAGAGGTCCACCTGACAAAGAGAACAGAAAATCCATCACCAAAAGCAAGGAAAGCTACATGAAATTAAACAATATTCTCATAACTCCCAACACAGAAAAATTTCAGCTAATCCTTGGAAGAATGTCATTATATGGATGAAAAGGTTTTATCCTGTTTGATTTAAGCCAGCCTCCCACAAACTGCCTTCCAGATGTGCTGGACTGCCACAGGCCATGCTGTCTGGGAATAATGGGAATTGTAACCCAACACATCTGGAGGGCATCAAGCTGGGGAGAACAGATTTATACTCCCCTTTGGGAGCATGCAAATCATCCCTGCCAATTTCTCAGTGGCCACACTGCTCCTTGCCTTTTATCAAGAGTGGGAAACCTGTGCCACTCTGGATGATGTTAGACTCCACCAATTTCAGCCAACGTGACCAGTTATCAGGGAGAGCCAAATACAGTGGTGCCTAACTTAGCGATGTTAATTGGTGCAGCAAAAATCGCTGCTAAGCAATTTCATCGCTAAGCGATTTTTAAAAAACCCATAGAAACGCATTAAAACGCGTTTAATACATTCCTATGGGCTTAAAAACTAACCTTATGCGAAAATCCTCCATTGCGGCGGCCATTTTCGGTGCCTCTAAAGCGAGGCAAAACAGCGGGTGGCCATTTTGTTTACCAGGCAGCCATTTTGGAACCGCCGATCAGCTGGCCGGAAACGGGGGCTTTGCGCTGATCGCTTCCCTGCGATCATCGCAAAGCAAAATTTCCCCATAGGGACCATCGCAAAGCGATCGCTCTTGCGATGGCAAAAAGTCCACTGCAAAGCGATTTCATCGCTATATGGAGCGATCGCTATGCGAGGCATCACTGTACCTGGAAGGCCACTGTTTTCCTATTATTAACCTATATTAATTCACACAAGCTAATATTGTAGTATTCATGAACAGTGCTGAACATGTAGTCTTAGAAAGTACCTGTGAGTTGAATAGGCTTATTTTGTCCAACATAAAGTTACACAAAGGGTGTCACTCAAGAGTCACTGGATAGCTCAATGGTTTAGGTCTCTGGCTATGGAGCCAGAGGCTGGGAGTTCAACTCCCCACCCACCCCATCTCACTAACAGGGGCTGGACTCACTGATCCAGAGGGTCCCTTCCTGCTCTGCAGTGCTAAGATTATTGTTATTTATTCTGCTCAGATTTGCAAGCCTTGTGTAATGAGCACAAATCAGATCTGGTACAAGGATACATGAGTGGCCCAGACTCTACCTTTTAAGGGTAAAGGTGGGGTAAAATATTTATATAAATAAAATAAAAATGGAAGCTTTTCCCAGCAGAAAAGCAAACAGGGAGGTTGTTGATATAAATAAATAAATAAATAAATAAATAAATAAATAAATAAATAAATAAACAAACAAACAAACAAACAAACAAACAAACAAACAAACAAACAAACAAACTTCCCCATTTGCTTTTCTGCTGGGAAAGGCTTCCATTTTTATTTTATTTATATAAATATTTTACCCCACCTTTCTCCTTAAAAGGACCCAAGGCAGCTTACATCATTAAAAAATATGAAAGCTAACAGTGAAAAGGGAGAAACAAATACCATACTAGAAAACATAAGCAACACCAAAACATCACCAAAAGTGCTACTCCTATATGTTCCCAGGAATAAAAGACAAAATTCTTCCAAAACATAGTGGGCTAATAACACTTCAATGGGTCAACTCCAGTTGGGGCTAAGATTTTGATTGATGTTGTTTTAGTTAATCACTTTTTATATACCATTCTTTTGAATTTTTACTTAGTGAATTGCTCTGAAAAGTCTTCCTCTCAAAAGGGGGGTTCAATTTATTTTTCATAAATTCAGTAAATTATTTCTGAATTCTCTCTGTTAGAATGAAATTATCCCTTCCAGCCACAATCTCAAACATGCCTGTCCATTCTTCCATCTAGTTCCACCTTATGTAGGCCAAGCCTTAGATATTTACTACGGATTCTGTTTTCCCTCTCAGAAGCAGTTTATTTGACACCATTTGCTTATTTAAACAGAAGCTTCAATTTATTTTCAAAAAATAAACGGCTACTGCCCTAGATCTCTTCATGCTGAATTATTCAAAATCAATATTTTTTTTCTCCCTGACAGCATGCACCGAGATGGTGTTGGGTTTTAAGCACAGAATTAGCATTTCTAAAAGACAGCCCTCAACACACAAGCACATACGCCAGCACGACACAGTCAAACGCCAATGAAATGGCATCGTTCTGCCTCGAACCCGCTAGAGAAGACCTGGAAGACATATGGGGAAGGAAACAGCCCCAGGCAAGCGATGGGAACAGCAGCCTAATAGGCAGGACAAACATTTTTGCAATGAAGAACTGCATATGTTTAATATTTAATGCTGTGTGCTGAACTGCCATGGAATGTGGAGTAGATTTTATGGTCCAAATCATACAGGTTATTATTTTATCAAAAGGAACAATTATGCAAAACAAACAAAAAAGACCCCTTCTCAACAGCTACTGCCCTCCACATCTATTCATGCAGAATCATTACTTGCACACACACCAATAAAATGATCAAACCAGGTCAGCCTGGAAGCTGAGCACATCTGTGATATTCAGCCTTTTAAAATAAGTTTCTAGCTCTCCAGACAGCAGAGGGACCCCCAGGGAAAAGGTACGTAGAAAATGGAAAAGGTACGTAGAAAATACTTTAGATTAGGCCCTAGTTCAGACCTTTTGAAAGCAGGCACTTCAGTCCACGTGCTTAGAAGAAGAAAAAGCCCCTCTGTTCACCAACATACATGGAGTAATTAAAAATAGGCATCCTTCAGTCTCGAGAGACTATGGTAATGTGCTCTGAATAAAGAACTTGGAACAGCATCTAGTGTGGCTGAGAAGGCCAATTCAGGAGTGACCATCCTGTCCACACTGAAGACAAATACAGTCTGTCCCCTGTCCAGCTCCTGATTTGGCTGGTTTCGGGTCTGCCTCTTTGCCTTGGCCTGCTGGACAAGGGTCTCTTCAGATTGGGAGAGGCCATGATGCACTGCCTGCCTCCAGGCTGAGCGCTCAGAGGTCAAGGTTTCCCATCTCTTGAGGTCCATTCCTAAGGCCTTCAGATCCCGCTTGCAGATCTCCTTGTATCACAGCTGTGGTCTCCCTCTGGGGCGCTTTCCCTGCACTCATTCTCCATACATAAGATCTTTTGGAATCCGACCATCAGCCATTCTCGTGACATGCCCAAGCCAATGTAGATGTTGCTGTTTCAGTAATGTATACATGTTAAAAATTCCAGCTCGTTCCAGGACTATACTATTGGGAACTTTGTCCTGCCAGGTGATACCAAAAATGCATTGGAGACAACACATATGGAACGTGTTCAACTTCCTCGCCTGCTATGAACAAAGGGTCCAGGACTCACTGCAGTACAGCAGTGTGCTCAGGACAAATGCAGGAACGGGTGATACCTTTATATATATGCAATCTGCAAGATGCCAATTGGGGGGTGGCTGGTGTCTCTTCAGCGCCCTCTTAAGTCAGTGGTTTTGAATTTATCACCCATCTCTCTAAAAAAAAGGTGTTCTGACCCCACCACCTTTCCCCTCCTTCCACCTTCTTTTGAAATGCCAAGAGTTTCTATTTGGCTAGAGAAAACAAGTATAGTAGGGAGAAGCATGGGAAGCCTCCATTAGAGTTGGGATTAAAAATTTACTTAAACTACCAGGAACAGCCAATTTCAGCCAAATTAAAGCCAAATCAATAGTTTTTAGTAGCCCAATAAAGGTATCACCTGTTCTGGCATTTTTATTTTATTTTATTTTATTTTATTTGTATACCGCCCATCTGACTGCAAAGGCCACTCTGGGCAGTTTACAACAAAGTAAGACAATAACAATATTGAATAATAGCAACATAAACACCACAATAATACAAAAATAAACAATAAACATATATTAATCAATAAACTTTGAAAAAGCGGCACAAAAGACATGTAATGAAAACATTCAAGATGGTGGGATAGTAACTAGAAAGAACTTTACATTCTGTTGCTGGGATATTTTGTAAGGCCTGCCTGAATAACTGTGAGCCTGGAGGCAAGTTGGGGTCACCACTTGGCAGCAATGGAGAAAGTCACAGGGTCAAGACAATGGCAGAACTAGACCTAGAAGACTGAAGTCAGCCATTGAACAAGGATTTCACTGCAAGATGAAGTCATACACTAAGGACACAATCCTGCTTTTTTGCATATGCACACAGGAGAAATCATGAAGCGGCACCAGCTAATCAAGGCTAACTGCAGTTAATTGCTGAGGTGGTTCATAAGTGACCGAAGGGAGACCGACACCTTGCCAATTAGCAACTGTAGCTTCCCCAATTCTTCGTGTGCATGTGTAAAAGAAACCAATAAAAATTCTGCCTAGTGACAAGTGCAGGGGTACCATGGAGACCAGTGTCTTTGTGTTTCTTCCTTTCCCCCATATAGCAATACTCAGTGAGATGATATCACCGTGGTATTAGAGAGCAATACAATGCCCATGTTCATGCCAGCATAATGTAAAACTATGCCAGCATAAATGTGCCAAATGTCATGCCCAGCGACAAGGAACTGCTCTATGGAACTGTGCCGTCCATCGGTCAGCAGTACAGCAGACTGGACAAAGAGCTTCGGAGACAGCACTTCTATCTTGGTGCTGGAACCACCACCATACATGCAACCTTGAGTTGTGTGCATGTAATTGCGCAACGAAATTTTGGCCAGTGACACGGCGCTGCATTTCCTTTCTCGTAGGCACATTACCCGCTTAATTTTATAGAACAGAAGAACAAACAAGGCTCATGTTTTCAGCAGCATTCCAATCCTATTTGGCAATATTCTCAGTGCAGTGAAACACTTTGCAGCTTTTTCTTTTATGGGCACAGTGGTAGCAGAGAACTTGTGTGTTGTGTGTGTTTAGTCGATTAGTCGTGTCCGAAAAAAACAGACGTCCCTCTCTACTGTCCATAGTAAGAGCGCTAGTCCCACTGTGGAGGAGGGAAGAGGAGCAAGCCCTCATCCAAACCAGCCATTTACCAGTGACTGAAATTATCAGCCTCATATGTAATTACAGCCTTAAGCTAAATTATCCAGCCCTTGCAGGAAGGAATGGGTTATATCTGGCGTTTTTCAAAATGCTCCAAAATCATTACTGTTGCAGTCTTTACAACGATGTTGTACGGTAGGTCCCTGTGACCTCCTCAATGCAGATGTGATACCTGGGCTGAAAAGACAGAAGCCATGGCAGAGATTAAACTGGGGCTAAAGGCTTCCTGGTTTGTAGCTCAAATCTCAGCCATTCCTTTGAAATCATACAGTGAGAATGAACTGTCTTTTGCAGAAGAAGTGAGAGTAACTTTATAAGAAGAGTAAAATCAGATGCTCTTATCTTAGGGTAGGAGAGGAAAGCACATGCCACCTTGAAGTTTAATTAAAATCCAGTCGGGTGAGACAGGCATTTGCAGCTGAACTCTAAACGCTACATACAAAGCATGAAGAAAACAAAGCAGAGTTCTCCTGTGCAACCCAAGTAACAAAATCCAATTTCGTTTCCCATTCCAAAGAGCAGAACGGGTACATTTCAATTTATGAAGCCCTGTTTAAAATGCACATTAACAAAAGAAGACTGACTTTTTATCTTCAAAAGAATTTGAAGAGGGACCGGCCCACACAAGCTACCAAACAACATCCCATTTGCACAGAAGCAAGAGATGCTACAGGAAGCGCAGCGACAAATGTCGGAAGCACAGTTGTGAGAGCGCTGAAGAGCTTGCCGGTTTCAAGGTGACTGAAATAACTCATTTAGGTCAAACAGAAAAGTCAGATTTACATCACTGGTTTCAAATCATGTTTCCCAAGGATACTATATGTAAGTCCTAAACAATGACTCTAATCCTCATCATCTTTGAATTGTGGAGCTAGAAGGGACCCTATTGATCATGAAGTCCAGCTCCTGTGAAAGAGGCACAATGGGGAACTGAACTCCCAAC